GATTGAAGTTTCAATGATGAGTTGAGGTCAGAAAAATCCCAGTGCTGAGGGCTGTTCTCCATAGTAATTCAAATAGACTCCTGGGTGCTGAGATCCAGATACTAGAAGATTTAAAAAGTCCCTAGGTGACTTTTTTGTTCTGAGATAGGGTTTCTCTGTCTAGCCCTGGCTGTCCAAGAACTCACTCTATACATTAGGCTGGCCTCAGAGATCCACCTGCCTCTCCCTCCTGAGCACTGAGATTAAAGGTATGTGCCACCACATCTGGCTAAAATATATGTTTTATTTTTCTATGTGTAGTTCTTCCTGAATGTGGTAAGGTACTGGGGGATTGAACCTAGGCCCTTGCACATGCTAGGCAAGCACCATACCATTGAGCTATTATGCCCAGCACACCTTAGGCGACTCTTACAAGAACCTAGATGGACACTCTTCTCTGGAGTGATATTAAACTTTATTAAATATATAACAGATTAAAAGCTAACAGCCTGGGATGGTGCCGCATGGCCTTTCTCCAAGCAGTTGGGAGGACAGAAACAGGTGGATATATGGAGTTCAAGGCCAGCCTAGACTACATGGAGTCCCAAGACAGCCAGAGCAACATAATAAAGAGACCCTGTCTCAAAAGCAAACAAAACCCCAAAATTGACTGAAGGTCTTTTAGTGTGCATTGCTGTGGAATAATCCTTCTGTACACTCTGAGCATGTATCATTTGTCACTGGTTAATAAATAAGCTGACTGACCAATAGCTGGACAGATAGAGGTATAGGTAGGACAGCCAAATCCAGAGGATGATGGGTGAAGAAGGGTGGAGTCAGAGGAGACACCAGAGACTGAGAGGGAGCAGGAGATGCTGGAGGGCAGTAAAACCACGAGCCACATGCCAATAAATAGGAATGGGCTAATTTAGGAGGTAAGAACTAGTTAGTAATAAGCCTGAGCTATTGGCTGAACATTTGTAATTAAGGTTAAATCTCTGTGTTGGTTATTTGGGAACTGGTGGGCTTGCTTACAGTCCTAGAGTTCATGATCATGGTGGGAAGCATTACAGCAGGCAGGTGTGAGAGCCAAAGTTATATTTTAAGTTTTAATTTCTATGCCTAAGAGATCCATGAAACAAAATGCCTCTGATCTGCAAGCCCCTTGCCTAAGGAAAGATTATTCCTGAAATGCTGGAAGCTACTGTTGATGGGAGACAACAAGCCACATGTTTTTTCAATCCCTTAACCAAGTGTTGACTCATCTGCACCAATGTGCTTGATCACATGTAGGCAGGAGGTTCACAGGCTGGGGGTATGTCAGGATATATGCTTGCTTCAAAGTTGGCTTTAAACTGTGGTAGTGGTCTTATTCTTGATCAGTGGGATTAACACAGGCATGGCTCTGGAACAGCTGCTGAGACTTACCTCCTGATGCACAGGCACAGGCACAGGGGGAAGAGAGAGAGAGAGAGAGAGAGAGAGAGAGAGAGAGAGAGAGCGAGAGAACCAACTGGCAGGAGCTTTTGAAATTGCAAATCCTGTCCCCCAAGTGCCCTACCTCATCAACCAAGTTCATACCACCTAATCTTTCCAAAACAGCTCATCAAACTGGGCACCAAACATTCAAATACATGAGCCTATGGGGCTGTTCTCATTCAAACCACCACTGTCCATGAGTGCTATCAATGGGACCAAGGAGTATGGCAGTAAGCCTGGCCCAGTGAGCACCGCATCTTTTTTTTTTTTTAAGCTATCTAAGCAGTTACTCTTTCACAGCAAAGGAGGCTCGGCCGCACACACCCACTGGGAGCAGTCTGTTTTGCTGCTGTTTTCTTTAGGTCTGAAGGTTACACACATACATTTTCACCACTGTTATCTCACACCTGAAAGCCAGAGTACAATGTCTTTACACACTTCTCTAAGCACACAAGAAAAGACAAAACTTCTGTGATCAGGTGAGCATCACAAGGGCTCTGTGCAAAGGAAAGTGCTGACCTGAGGACTGTAACTGCAACTTGAATCTGACTGAGTAATGTATTCATCATTGTGTCTGACACAGGAAATATAAACTTCGATAATATTATGCCAATTTTGAGGTTTGCTTAATGTGTAAAAACATTTTGAAAGAAACCATTCCAGTATTTGATCACAATCTGTTAAGATTAGCCTTGCAGGACAGGCATTGTGGTGCACTTTTAATCTCAGGCAGATCTCTGGGAGTTAGAGGCCAGCCTGGTCTACACAGTGAGTTCAAGGACTGTCAGGGTATATGGAGAGACCCTACCTCAAGAAATGCAGTTCCCCTTTATTTCCCATGTTGAAATAACACGTGAGAGGCTCAGACCCAAGGCTATATCACATGCAAATCATCGAAGTTCATGCAAAATCATTAAAAATAAATGTTTTCTTTATTAAGAAACCCAATTACAGTGTTTGAAAAACACAGCTGATGTGATTTTTATAACAATGCAGCTTATAGGAACTGGAGAAATGGTACTACGATATGGAAAACAAGAATTATTCAGCATTTACAAAGAACAGATGAAAATGTAAGTTTTGTTGGTGCACGCTGTACAACACAGGTTTTCAAAGAACAATTTTGTCTTTCCTCCGATACCTGCATTTATTTTCTCCACATTGATCTTATGGAAGGCATCCAGACATTGCTACTATATAAAGACAGTATTCACCAATTAAATGGCTTTTCAACAAGTAGTAACGCTTTCTTGTTTGGTTTTATTTTGAACCAGGTCTCACTACATAGCCCTGGCTGGCCTCAAACTTAAGAGCTCTGCTTTCTTCCACCTAGAGTTGGAATTAAAGGTGGGCCAAAATCCACACCTAGATCCTAAAATGTTTTCTTGCAAATATTCACTACATGCTAAGCAGTGGTGGCGCACACCTTTAATCCCAGCACCTGGGAGGCAGAGGCAGGCAGATCTCTGAGTCTGAGGCCAGCCTGGTCTACAGAGAGTTCCAGGACAGCCAGGGCTACACAGAGAAACTGTCTCAAAAAAGAAAAAAGAAAAAGAAAGGAAAGAAAAAAAGAAAGGAAGGAAGGAAGAAAAGGAAGGAAGAAAAAAAGGAAGGAAGGAAGGAAGGAAGGAAGAAAGGAAGGAAGGAAGGAAGGAAAAGAAAAAAAAGAAAAAGCAAATACCGAGGAAAGGAGTTTCCTTTGGGGAATGGAAGCACACCCCACCTCACACAAGAAAGCTCATCTGCACATGTGGTACAGTAATAAACTCTTCTTGGGGCATTAATCCTTCCTGGCAGAAGTGACGTTGTTGAGGGAATCTCTCTCACATGAGTACTCCAACACTACTGAGTGGAAAAAATAAATCCATTCACCAGCAGAATGAAGCCAGGATAGTCCCTACGTTTGCATTCTCATTTTATACTCTAAAACCATTAGGTGGGCCTAGCAAGCAACCAAGTGGGACTTTAATGGCAGCTAGCTGGGGACTTTTGCTTTTCGAATGCATATATTCCAGTTGTGATGTGGTTACTAAGGACAAAAACCTATTGTTTCTGAATTGCCTTCTGATCCAGGTAAGAAGGCAAAAATGTGTTTGGCCAAAAGCAAGACGTAAAATGTTTTAAGCAAACCACTGAATAAATCAACAAATTAGTATCTAATGCTAGGTCTTTTCCACCTTATTTGACTTCAATTTGTTTTTCGAGACAGGGTTTATCTGTGTAGCCCTGGCTGCCCTGGAACTAACTCACAGAGATCCACCTTGCCTCTGCCTCCTGAGTACTGTGGGATTACAGGCGTGTGCCACCACTCGGCAAAAGAATTATCTTTAAATGATTTGGAACGGAAAAAGTTGTCTTCACATGCACAAAAAATGTACAAATTCGTGACACTGGAACTGTCATGAACTAGTAGTGTATTTCCTGAAAGGTCATCAAATAAAGGGGCTTTGATCTGCGCAGTGTCTCTATGCACTAGAGTTCTGACCCACAGTGAATCTGGAATTGGCATAAGAAGTCTGTCCAGATGTCTGGTGTGCACTGATGATTAGTGGCCAGTCCCTACCTAACTCCCCTGACTCTTGCCTTGGGTTCATCAGCTCTACCGAAACAACAATTACTACAGATTATCATATAACCATTTTCTAATGCGATTGATGCTTTTCAGTGTAATCTAACCAACTGTACTCATGCCATTTTAATACTTACAAAACAAAAATGTTTCCAAAGAATGCTTTCCTATTTACTCAAATTGAAAAATCATATTCCACTGAAATACATGACAACTTGGCGTATGTTTAGTTTTCTTCTTTGCAATACAGAGGCTTGTGCCTATGAATTTGCATATGAATCTCCTACTATCACTATACTCTGAGTTTTCACTAAGTACTTCCCCAATTTCACTAAGTACTTCCTAGAGTACTGAAAAACAATTTTCCTGCACACCTTAGGGATTTTCTAGCTGTGCATAAGCATACATATTGTCACAGACACAAGATCATCTCTAGAAAGTTCTCGTCATCTTGCTATTGATAGGTTTTTCACTCCACAATGAATATTTTGAAGGTGAAAAAAAAAAAAGTCTTTCTTAAAGCATTTTCTTAGGTTTTCCTTCAGGAAGAATTTTTCAGATGTCTACTGTTTTAGCACTAGATAAAGACTTTGACAAATTCAGTCCATTTCTTTGGGTTCCCTTGCGTGGGATTTCTAACGTGTAAGGCAGCATGAATATAGCGCAGTGGCAAACATATGATTTCTCTCTGATAAGAATTTTCTGCTGCAGGACATTTCAGGGAATAATTAAAGGCTCGGTGGAATTCTTTAGATGAACACATATTGTCTTCAGGATGAAATTTTTGAGGTAGAAAAAGTAACATGTTTTAATGAAAGGCTTTGCACACTGTCACATAATCAGAATTTTTCCTCACTATAAACTCTTGATGTTTCTTAAGATTTCACAAGTTCCTCATGTTCATAATGGTTTCCCTGGTGTGGAGACTACAGTGGTCCCTACGGACAGAGCTCTGGGAAAAGCATACGCCACCTTATCTACTTTGGGAAGGTTTCTTTCCAGTATGAATTTTCTGATGTCTTCTAAGGTTTGCCAGTGTGGTAAAGGATCTGTCACATTCACTACATTTGTACGGCTTCTCTCCTGTGTGAATTCTATAATGGATGTTAAGGTGTGATAAGTGATAGAAGGCCTTACCACATTCTTTACAACCGTGAGGTTTCTCTCCGGCATGGATTTTCTCATGGGTTCTGAGAGATGAACATTTGGTAAAAGATTTGTCACATTGGTAACATTTGTATGGTTTCTCCCCAGTGTGGATTCTGTAATGGACTTTAAGGTGCGAGAGTTGATAGAAGGCCTTACCACATGCTTTGCAACCGTGAGGTTTCTCTCCTGCATGGGTTTTCTGATGTGTTCCGAGAGATGACTGTTTGGCAAAGGATTTGCCACATTCCTCACATTTATAAAGTTTCGCAGCATGGGTGCTCTGATGTCTCCGGCAAGTTGAGCAGTGCGTAAAGGATCTGTCACATTCACTACATTTGTAAGGTTTCTCTCCTGTGTGGATTCTGTCATGGCTTTTAAGGCAGGACAACTGAGAAAAGCCCTTACCACATTCTTTACATTGGTAAGGCTTCTCTCCAGTATGGGTTCTGTAATGGACTTTCAGGTAAGACAACTTATAGAAGCACTTACCACACTCTTGACATTTGTAGGGTTTCTCTCCAGCGTGAATTTTCTGATGTATCCTAAGGGTTGAACACTGGGTAAAAGATTTGTCGCATTCCTTACATTTGTAAGGTTTCTCTCCAGTGTGGATTCTGTTATGTTTTCTAAGTTGGGACAATATATAAAAGGACTTACCACATTCCTTACATTTGTATGGTTTTTCTCCAGTATGGATTTTCTCATGGGTTCTAAGAGTTGAGCACCGGGTAAACGATTTGTCGCAGATCTGACATTTATAAAGTTTTCCGGCGTGCATGTTCTGATGTTCTCTAAGAGATGAGCAGTAGGAAAAAGATTTGTCACATTCCTGACATTTGTACGGTTTCTCTCCACTGTGGGTTCTGTCATGCTTTCTAAGTTGAGACAGACTATAAAAAGACTTGCTACATTCCTTACATTTGAAAGGCTTTTCTCCAGTGTGAATTTTCTCATGTGCTCTAAGAGACGAGCACCGGGTAAAGGACTTGTCACATTCCCAGCATCTGTAAACTTTTCCCTCATGGATGTTCTGATGCTCTCTAAGAGAGGAACAGTAGGTAAAGGATTTGTCACATTCCTGACATTTGTAAAGTTTTCCCTCATGGGTGTTCTGATGCTCTCTAAGAGAGGAGCAGTAGGTAAAGGACTTGTCACACTTCCGACATTTGAATGGTTTCTCTCCAGGATGGATTTTGTAATGGGTTTTAAGGTCGGACAAGCATTTAAATGACTCGTCACATTCTGTGCACTTCCATAGTTTCTCTCCAGTATGAGCTCTCTGATGTGTGCTGAGGCTCGAGCAGTTCCTGAAGGACTTCCCACGTTTCCTGAATTGGTGTGGTTTCTCTTCATTATGGACTTTGAGCTGTACAAGTTTTGGGGAAAAGCCAAAAGATTTATCACATTCGTTATATGTATACTCTTTCTTTCCTATGTAGTTTCCATGACTCTGACTTACATTTGAAAATAAAATAAAAGATTTGCCAACATCTTTATATTTGCAAGGTTCTTCTCCAGTGTGCATGCTTTCATGCCTACTGAAGTTGACTGATCCAGTACACTCATCCCCGTGGTTTTGTATCCATCCGTATTTGTAGCAGTGTTCTGTAGAATTATTTGTTTTGCACAGTGCCCATTGGGAGGAGTCATGAATCATTTTACCAAGCTCATTACATTTACGAGACTTTGGTGGAATAGCCACACGCTCATAGGCAATATGCTTCGAGCCTTGATCCAAGACCTCCTCCGAGTTACTGCACATCTGTTGGGTCTCTGAAAAATGAGCACAATTAGAGCTAATAGGGTTTGATGCGTGCTGAAACACATTCCATATCTGAGTTCTCTGAGATAAGTAAATGCAATTCTTAGAACAGAGCTCTCATGGATGCTCAGAGAATCTCCACTCTGATCTCCATCACAGGCAACAGCCTTTTTACCCTTATCTAAACTGCATTTGCAAAAAAAAAAAAAAGTTGGACAAATAGTTGAAGAAACAAGAGTGAACTTTGGGAACAGAACTCTCTGAAGGACTACATTTGATACATATTACTTTTCCTAACCACCGCCCCCCAGAAATATTGTAGAACTACTTAATATTAAATTCAAAATATCTCCACTTAATAAGTATACTGCTATGCACATCCTTGCTCAGAATATTTAAATTTCAGTTTAAAATTTTTCTTGATAGATAGAGCTAGGTGTGGTGAAGTACGACTTTAATCCCAGAATTTATCAGACAGATAGACCAACATGATCTGCATAGAGAGGCCGCCCAGAACAGCCAGAGCAATGTAACAAGATCCTGTCTCAGAAACAAACAAAACATCTTGATAGACTTTTTGTTTGTTTGTTTGTTTTCGAGACAGAGTTTTTCTGTGGCCTTGGAGTCTGTCCTGGAACTAGCTCTTGGAGACCAGGCTGGTCTCGGACTCACAGAGATCTGACTGCCTCTACCTCCCAAGTGCTGGGATAAAGTGGTGTGTCACCAAACCAACATTCATTGACAACATTGTTCAGCAAGAACACTAAAATAGGAGCTTGCCACTACACTAGAATAAGACATCAAGTTTAGGTAAGTAAGAAACAAGGATGATCATCTCTTGGATATTCAGACAATTTTCTCTTTCTCTAATTAGAACGATAAAATGAGAGGAAATCCAAGATAGGAAGCCCAGTGTTGAAAAGCAACAAAGCCTGTGTGAGATGGATGAGGAGAGAGAACTGGAAGAGGGCAGGTTTCAAGCCAACAGCAGAAACAGGCCTCAGGAAACTGAACACGGAACTATGAGAGAGTCACCAGGGAAAACAACCTCTTTGTCGCTGTCTCAAGGACCAATACAGGACTAATTCCCACAGTAGAAAATAGGAACAGTGAGATGGTAGTTCATCTTGATCAGAATATCAGTGCCACCAACACGGGAGACCAGAAATTGTGTACGTTGTAGATGGATGTGTTTTTATATGAAATCACTTTATAACCAGTTGATATATTTTCAGGTTCTGGCTTCGGCAAGTCCTCTAGTATGTAAAATTAATTATAAATGATCATGCCTGAAATTTACAATGAAATGAAAACAGTAAAAATTCATATGAAAAGTAAAGAAGTTACTAAGATAGAGCCATGAGAAATACAGAAAACTCTGTAAAAAGTGTGAGTGCTTTACTTTCAGAGATTTTCTTAAAATAGCACCAAAGTTGAATATGCAAAAATTCTTCAAAAATTGAGAAGAGCAGCTGGAGAGATGATGCCTCAGTGGGTTCTTCCAGAGAACCCAGGCTGAATACACAACACATACATGGCAGCTCCAACCTTCTCTAACTCCAGCTCCAGGGCATCTAAGGGCTTCAAATACACAAGTAGTGTACAGATACACATGCAGACAAAGCCTCCATACATAAAAATTACATACATATGGGACCGGAAAGATGGCTCAGCAGTTAAACGCATTGACTGCTCTTTCAGAGGCCCTGGATTCAATTCCAAGCACCAATATGGCAGCTCACAATTGTGTGTAACTCCAAGAGCTGATACCCTCATACAGACTGTCAAAACACCAATGTACATAAAAGAAGAATAAATAAATTACTTAAAAATTGAGTGTCAGTGAAGAGACCTCGGAAATCTATGGGGCCTCTTGTAGTAATCAGTACTTATCCCTAGCATAGGAATGGACTTTGGGAGCCCATCCCACACAGAGGGAGAATCCCTGAGCCTCTACACACGGAGGGTGGGCCTAGGCCCTATCCTAAAGGATATGACATACTCTGAAGACCTCACCCTCCCTGGGGAGCAGAAAGGGTATGGGATAGGTAGGGTGTTAGTGGGGGGCAGGGGAAGAGGGGAGGGAGAGGGAACTGGGATTGACATGTAAAACAATCTTGTTTCTAATTCAAATTTAAAAATGGAGAAAAAAATTACATAGATACATAGGGGCTGGAGAGATGGCTCAGGGGTTAAGAGCACTGACTGCTCTTTCAGAGAATTCCGGTTCAATTCCCAGCACCCACATGGCAAGCTAACATCTGGCTATAACACTAAGATCTGACACTCTCACACAGACATACATGTAGGCGAAACACCAATGTATATAAAATAAGAAGAAATAAATTATTTAAAAAAATAAATTTTAAAAATTACATAGATACATAAAATTAAAATAAAAAAGAATTGAAACAAAAAATAAGATTAAGATATATATTTTATGGCATACATCCACTTCAAATCTAAGGCTATAAGATATTAAATGGAGAAATTATGGAACAGTATCTGTGGTGGTTTGAATGAGAATGCCCTCCACAGGCTCATATATGTGCATGCTTAGCCCTAAGTCAACAGACTCAGAGAGGATGAGGAGGTGTGTGCAGTCAACAGACTCAGAGAGGATGAGGAGGTGTGTGCTTGTTGGAAAAGCATCACTGGGAGCTGACTTTGAGGTCTCAAAAGCCAACACCAGGCCAGATGCCCCTCTGCTTGCTGCCTCTGGATCACGATGAAAAGTACTGTTCCGGTAGCATGCCATCCTGCTTGCCACTGTGTTCCCTACCATGACGATAACGGAGTAACCCTTTGAAACTATACACAAACATCCAATTAAATAATTTCTTTCACATGAGTTCCCTTGGCCATGGTGTTGCTTCATAGCAATAGTGACCAAGGCAATATCCCCCTGTGCATTCATGGAGAGCGCTTATACTAAAACTGGAATGAGGCCCAGATTAGAACAGCCCCTGCACAAGGGTGACACACAAAATCATGAAGAATTTTGTATTAAGAAATTCAAATGCTGGGCAGTGGTGGCGCACACCTTTAATCTCAGCACTCAGGAGGCAGAGGCGAGTGGATCCCTGTGAGTTCGAGTCCAGCCTGGTCTACAGAACTAGTCCTAGGATAGCCAAAGCTAAACAAAGAAACCCTGTCTTGAGACCCTTAAACAAAAGAAACCCTTACACAAAACAAAACAAAACAAAAGGACTCACATGAGTATCAACAGCAATGAAGAACTGAAGAATCCATGTGAGATGAGGTAAAGATTGTGTTTTTGTTTTTTTAGACAGGGTTTCTGTGTGTAACAGCTCTGGCTGCTCTGGAACTAGCTCTGTAGACTAGGCTGGCCTCGCCTTGAATCCCAGCATTCGGGAGGCTCAGGCAGGTGGATCTCTGAGAGTTCAAGGCCGGCTTGTTCAAGGAATCGAGTTCCATGACAGCTAGGGCTACTCAGAGCAACCCTGTCTCAAAAAAGCAAACAAACTATAGCAGTGAAAACCATGTATTCTTGGCATGGAGACAGATAACTAAGACAGAATCCCTCTCCCTCATAGTCAAATAAAATTGCATTTGCATTCTAGTAGTACTTTCAAGATATTACCTGTGTGCTAAGAACAATGTCTTCTGACACAGACAGTAAGGCTCATCTTCAGAACATTGTACTAAGGAACCATTTTCCGTCCTCTTTCCCTTGATTCCCTCCCTTCTGTCCTGTTCAGTCACTCACCCCTACCTGGTCTGGCCACCATCTCCTCTCTCTTCACATTCCAGGGCATTTGGATTTGCTCTAGACAGGGGACCAGGTCTGCCTTGCACGCAATAATACCTGTGCATGAGAAAGTGGCACATGATTTTTTCTGGATTCAGTCGAACATACTGAATATCTTAAGGAGACAACATTGTAGAAGACTCTAGAAATGATTTGCCAGTCGTGATTTCATACAAGAATCTTAAAAATATTCCTGGAAGCAATAGATGGCTCAATGGTCAAAGGGACCCAGTTTCGGTTCCCAGCACCTGTGGGAGTGCACACCCCTCTGTAACTTCAGATTCAGGGCCTTTGTGCCTTCTGACAGCTTAGTTGGGCGTCCTGAGCATAAAATAAAATCAACAGAGGCTAAGGAAGGCTTAGGGGGCATTTTCAGAGTGCAGACTGAGTTCTGCTTCCTGTCAAGACTGAGTCAAACGCAGTGATGGAGATGGAACTTGAGGACTGGGTGGGAACCTCATCAGTCTTGGTTTACCAAGTGCGACAACGGAAATGGAACATAAGTATGGGGGTGGGAACAGAATCAGTTTCTGAATGAATCCAGTGGAATGCTGGAAATGACACTTTAGGATATGGGGGGAAACGCCTGCTACTAGGTCTCTCTGAATGTGTTGTGGACCTAAAAGGGAGTCTTCATAATGCCTCCAAAAGGGAGAACATGATGAAGACATCAAACACCACTGAGAAGCATCAAATAATATTATCTGCCTCATTTCCTGTAGTTGCTAAGACAGCTACCCAGAGAGCCTCCACACCTACAAAGGAGACATAAGCCAAGGATCGGTTGCAAATTCTTCGAGAAAAACATCCTCACCCACAGAGAGCAGGTTGCTGTAATTCTCCAGCATCACATCCATGTACAAAGCCCTCTGACCCGAGTCCAGGCATCGCCACTCCTCCCGGGAGAAGTCCACAGCCACATCCCGGAATGTCAGCAGACCCTGAAATGAAAACAGTTTTACCATGTGTAGGGTACTTTCCTGGATACAAAGAATACAAGAGAAACTGGGCCATTATTTCTGCTGCAAACGAGGGAGCACAGATATTCAGTAAGATGATTTCTGGATGGATGATAATCAAAAAATGCACTGCCTGACTGTGGGAAAATAGGATAGTACCACATTCCCAGAAACAATATACTTTTAGGGCACATACGATGCAAATTCAAGTCTGAACAGAGAAATACACCTTTTTTAAAGCAGCACTGTCTGTGTTCATCTCACACAGAATCAGAGTGTGCATCTCGGAAAATTCTTAACAAGCAAAATTATGCTTCCAGTTGCCAAGATGGTAGACCTCGATAAAATAGTGGCACTGGATTAATCTTTTCTGCAGTTTGGTCTCATCAGACTGAATTCTAATAAGCGCTGTGGAGCTGAGCATCTACGATCAATGCTGCAGCCCCACAATTTCACACCTTAAATCCCATCGCTCCGGAGGTAGAAGCAGGCCGATCTCTTTGCATTCCAGTTTACACAGTGAGTTCCAGAACAAGGATGCAAAGTGAGACTCTGTCTCAAAATAATAAATAAATAAATAAATAAATAAATATTAAGTCTGTCAGAAAGTTCTGGTTTTCTCATAGTAGTAAGGGAGCAGCAACAATCCAAACCACCCATGCTCCAAACATTGACCATATAATGAGATTAGTTTGTGAGAATATTTTGGCAACCATGAAGTACATGTAAAAATCAGGGCCGGGTGGTAGTTGCATTCATCTTGAATCCCACCACTTGGGAGGCAGAGGCATCAAGATCTTTGGTCTACAGAATGAGTTTCATGACAGACAGAGATACATAGTGAAACCCTGTCTCAAAAGGAAGGAAGGAAGGAAGGAAGGAAGGAAGGAAGGAAGGAAGGAAGGAAGGAAGGAA